GGGACCCTTCAGTCCACAGGCCAATTCTCTATCCACTGAGCCAAACAGGTTAGAGCCACCCCTCCTTTCTGATAAGGCCCCATTAATAGGCCCAGAGATGCTGATTGGCTTAGAAACCAACCAGTCAGAACCAGATCTGGTTGAACTGTAAAGAATCAATGGCTGTCTAGGAGGTGGAGCTTTTGACTCAGAGGAGGGCAGCTGGGGACGAGTTCTGGCCTGCAAGGGAGGGCAGTTGGGGGCAAGATCAGGCCTGCAGAGGAGGGCAGTTAGGGGTAATCAGGCAAGCAGAGGCAGTTAGGGTGATCAGGCAAGCAGGTAGCTGAGCTGTTAGGAGCCAGTGGTCCCAGATAGCAAGAAGGATGTCCGACTGCCGGTTTAGAGGGATCAGGCCTAAACCAGCAGTCAGTTACTCCCCAAGCGGTCTCCGATTGGAGGTGCAGGCTGGGCTGAGGGAACTCCTCTCCCCCTCCGTGCACAAATTTTGTGCATTGGGCAACTAGTATATATACTGAGTGGCCAGGTTATTATGATCTTTGAATGCATAATAATCTGGTCACTTAGTGTATATCCTATATAATAAAAGGCTAATGTGCAAATTGTAAATTGTTCCCTCCACCTGGCCAGGTTGGCCAGATCCCACTCATGCATGAATTCATGCACTGGGCCTCGAAAATACACACACACACACACACACACACACACACACGGAATGGCCAGATTATTATGCATTCAGAGATCATAATAATCTGGCCACTCAGTGTACATGTGAAAGCAAAAAGTTACAACAGATTCTATTATCTAACTTACAACCTCTTCTTGATTCTTGGCATCATATTTACCAAGATAATTACTACATCAGAGTATCTATAGCCAAACTATTATTGGAGAACAAAACATTGATCTGTGGAATAATAAGGGAGAACCAGGGGTTCCCAAAACTACTAAAAGAAAAGTAACCATCTTACCAAAAGTAACCATCTTGAAATAACTGGTCAGCAAAATGTTAATGATAGATACACCTTAAATTATTCTACTGCAATTTACAGAGCGTAGCCTCTAGGCAAGCATCAACAGCATCATTGAGAACTTGTCAGAAATGCAGATTCTCTGGTTCCACTCCAGATCTGCCAATTCAGGAACTGAGGGAAGCACCCAGCAGTCTATCTTTTAACAAGTCCTGTAGGTGGTTCTGATGCAAACCTAAGTCTGGGAACCACTGCTATAAGGCCTTGCCTTTAAAGAGCAGAGGAGCAAGAATTTATGGCACCTGTCTTCCTTTGTGGATTAACAATGACACATGAAGCCATTATTTGATGGTACATTCTAGAGAACGGGTAGTACTAACATTTTAAAGTCTACTTGCCTTTGCCCTTAATTGATCCTTAGCTACCAGGAACTATTTCCAGTGACTTATAATCTATGAAGACCTATGGTAGAAAAACAGAGCCACATAAAGACCAAGACCATAGAAGACTTTCGTGCCTTTCCCGGAACTGTACCTATTTCATCACTAGAGGAAAAGGAGCCCTCCTACTTAAACATCCTTATTAATAACTTTTTTTGCACTAACTCAGAGACTATATTTCTCAGCAATGTGACTGGAAGTAGGTAGGGAATGTTGCTTTGCCATAGAATGTGAAGTCAGTACTAGAAGGACTGAGGAAGAAAAGCCATAGAAGCAGTGTGCTCTGAGGGTTATTGTAACTAGTTCTTTTTAGCCAGAGAAATAACTATTCTGCTTCGCATTGTCCTATGTCAATTTACTTTATGAATATTAAAGAACAGCAAAACAGTAAAAAGTAGGATAGTGTTTGTATCAGTTTGCTCTCTCTGTCTTTAAGCCATGAAGGAAGTTTCTTAATCAGTGACAATATAGATCTCACATATCCTGATATATTAAATACCAGTACTAACCACTCATATAAGGATAAGTGCAAAAAGATAAAGCTGCAAAGGAGGACCTTCACTTAAACATGGCAAATTGTAAACCAGTGCTTATTGCAGCTTCTTCCCAAAACACCTCTAAAATGATGGAAAGGGTGTTTTGTTAAGACATAAACACAGAAGCATTTCCTACCCACAAAAAAAGTAAAAAAACAAAACTGGAAGAGGAGATAATGGCAATTAAAATTTGAAAGCTAGTAAATGGATTAGTTGCTAATACTAGCTTCAAAGATAGCATTGGATGAAGACATTAAGAAGGCTATTTTTTTTTAATCTAGAAATGCATAGGGATTAGAATACCTAAATAAAATTAGGTATTTCTCTCGCACTGCCTCCTGCACACCTCCTACTGGGGATGTGCCCACAACCAAGGTACATGCCCTTGACTGTAATGGAACCTGGGACCTTTCAGTCTGCAGGCTGACGCTCTACCCACTTAGCCAAACCGGTTATGACAATAAAGATTAATTTTTAAAAATAAAAGTAACTAAGAAATGCATTGTGCACCTTAAATTTATATATATATATTTGTCAAATTTATTCAATTTAAATTTTTTTAGTGGTAGCAAAGAGGAAACATTTAGAGAAGGATTAGAACAGTGGTTCTCAATCTTTCTAATGCCGCTATCCTTTAATACAGTTCCTCATGTTGTGGGGATTCCCAACCATAAAATTATTTTTGTTGCTACTTCATAATTGTAATTTTGCTACTGTTATGAATCGTAATGTAAATATCTGTGTTTTCTGATGGTCTTAGGCGGCTCCACTAGCTGCCATAGAGCCTTCTTTCATTTTGTACTCTTTCTGTTTCCTTTCAGCTCAGTTGACAGTGTTCCTACTGGCATAAAATTCTCAAGAAGTGAATATGCTCTATATGTTACAGGGATTTATCTGATTAATCAACTACTACCCTGTTTACCCGAAAATAAGACAGTGTCTTATATTAATTTTTGCTCCCAAAGATGCGCTTATTTTCAGGGGATGTCTTATTTTTCCATGAAGAAGAATACAGTACACATTATTGTTAAATGAAAATAAAGGAAATTTATTACCTGTATACGGTATGGTGGTACGGTATTTGTCAACACAAACCAGACAAACTGTGAATCCTACAGTATCAAGAATTTACTCATTTATTCAATGACAATCATGTCATCATCTTCTGGAACATCATCATAACAATCCAATTCCTAAATTTCCTGGTGAATTTCCTGTGACTCCATTTCTTTCAGAATCAGTGAACCAAATCTCTCATGTTTAGCCTAGGGGGGCCTTATTTTTGGGGGGATGCCTTATATTTCACTCAGAAGGAAACCTGTAAGTAGGTCTTATTTTCGGAGGATGTCTTATTTTCAGGGAAACACGGTAGATAACACAATATTTTCCATTAAAATTGGCAAAGCTTTACAAAAGTATAAGGATCTAGTACACCAGTGTTTGAGAGGGAGTGGAGAACTTGACCACTTGTAGCCAAACAATGAGGGACTTATTGGTACAAGCTTGTAGGGGTCAGTTTGGAATACTATGTGTTTTTAAAAATGTTTAAAATGTACCCTGGACTATGTGCTCAGCGGTTAGAGCGTCAGCCCATGCACTGAAGGAATCTCGGATTTGATTCCCAGTCAAGAGCACATACCTGGGTTGCAGGTTTGATCCCAGCCCCCGTTGGGCTGCAGTCAATTGATGTGTCTCTTATATTGATATTTCTCTCATGTGCCTTCCCCCTCCCTCTCCATTAACTCTGAAAATCAGTGAGAAATATTCTTGGGTGAGGATTAAATAAATAAATATTTAAAGTACTTTTTTCCATCTGTTCCATTCATAGGAAATTATCCCAAGGAAGTATTACAAATGTTGGCAGGGCTTTATTCTAAAAAAGCAAACAAACCAAAACAACAAAAACCCTATGGTATTTGCAAATGCTGGCTTGTACTAGAGTCATTAAAAAGTCTTATTTAACAACAAAAAAGTCTTGTTGAAAACCATTTAATCTCAAGGGAAATGTTCATGATATATTAAGTGTGTACGTATAGGGTTTTTATTGCTGTATGTATGTGTATTTTAAAGCCTAAGCGACCATTACAACTGAACGACTGGAATGACCAGTTGACCAGTCACTGTGATGTGCACTGACCACCAGGGGGCAGATGCTCAACACAGGAGCTGTCCCTGGTGGTCAGTGCCCTCACACGGCCAACCTTCCTCTTCCCAGCCGGCTGGCTCCAACTGCCCTGGTCAGAACTTCCCACCACCCCTTCTTCTCAGCCACCAACCTCCTATGGCCCTGATTGGGACTGGGTGAGACACTCCGATCAACCCCGATTGCTGGCCAGGCCGAGGGACTCCACCATGCCTGAATTTGTGCACCAGGCCTCTAGTATTATATAATACACGTGTTTCATATTTCCTCAATTCTAAGATTCCATTAATCATGCCATATCCATGTAATAATAACTGTTAAGGAAAATAATTCCAGAGGCATTAAGATGAAAACATTTGATTATTTTTAATATTATGTGATTTGCAAATGACTTAGTCTTTATATCTTTCTGTATCATCAAGAATAACTACAGTGCCCTAGCTGGTTAGCTTAGTGGATAGAACGTTAGCCTATGGACTGAAAGGTCCCAGGTTCAATTCCAGCCAAAAGCACATGCCCATGTGGGCTTGATCCCCAGTAGGGGCCATGAAGGAAACAGCTTATCAATGATTCTCTTTCACTATTGATGTTTCTATCTGTCTCTCCCTCTCTGAAATCAATCAATAAATCAATAGATAGGTAGATAGATAGATATAAAATGACTATGTTGAGCATGTATTATTATAATTTTTCTAGGTCCTTAATGTATTTATTTAAATTAATAAAGCAGTTAGTTATAATTCAAGGAGACAGTTTTGAGTAGAAGCTATTGGGAATATGGATGTTATACTCTTTGTCTTGAATCTTACTTTTGAATGTCTAAAAAAGAAATGTATTAATATGTGTTATTTGAATCCTACATGTAATTCCAACATTCCTTTAATGAGAGCTTCTTTTGCCTTTTTCACCTAAGAGGCTGAAAAGAGTGAAGATTCCTCTGGTGCTGCAGGCCTCTCAGGTTTACATCGCACATACAGCCAGGACTGCAGCTTTAAGAATAGCATGTACCATGTTGGAGATTATGTCTATGTAGAGCCCTCAGAAGCCACCCTACAACCACATATAGTCTGTATTGAGAGACTGTGGGAAGATTCAGCTGGTAAGTTCATTTTAAATCAAAAGGCACATGTGTGAGATGTGACTGTTTTACTCCTTGGTCCTCAGGGGAGAAAACTATAATTTACCCATTTTATGTCTTTTAACAATACTTGTTCTACAGTGTATAAAATATAATTAAGCACTCCCTATATGAAAAACATAGTATCTAGCACTATGGAGCAGTAGCACAGTTGAGTCAAAAGAAATGTAACTTTTTGAAATCTAGTTGAGATTATTCATTCAAATGATATTTATTGAAAACACACCGTGAGCCAAATTCTATAGGATAACAGAGATTCAGAAGAACAAAAGGCTCATGTTTTGCCCCTGGCAAAACCACTCCAATAAAAATCCTATATAATAAGAGGTAATATGCAAATTGGCTGTCACTTCAACACAAGATGGCTGCCACAAGATGGGCAGCAGGGGAGGGCAGTTGGGAGGAACTAGGCCTGAAAGGGAGGGCAGTTGGGGTTATCAGGTCTGCAGGGGAGGGCAGTTAGGTGTGACTGAGCCAGCAAAGGAGGGCAATTGGGGGCAACAAGGCCTGCAGGGAAGGGCACTTGTGGGGGACCCAGGCCTGCAGGGGAGGGCAGTTAGGAGTGACCAGGCCAGCAGGGGATGGCATTTAGGAGGGACCAGGCTGGCAAGGGAGGGCAGTTAAGGGTGACTGGGCCATCTAGGGAGGGCAGTTAGGGGCTACCAGGCCAGCAGGGGATGGCATTTAGGAGAATCAGGCTGGCAAGGGAGGGCAGTTAAGTGACCAGGCCAGCAGGAGAGGGCAGTTAAGGGCAATTGGGCCAGCAGGGCAGCAGTTCAGCATCAATTAGATTGGCAGCTGAATTGTTAGGGGCAGGCAGGCAGGCAGGCAAGCGGTTGGGAACAAACAGTCCTGGATTGTGAAAGGGATGTCCCAGATTGGAAAAGGGTGCAGGCCTGACTGAGGGACACACTCCCACCCCCAACCCCCACTCCTGGTGCACAAATTTCATGCACCGGGCCTCTACTCACAAATAAATTATTATAGAGAGACATGTGCCTTACCTTAGAATTTGATTTCAAATAGGCTTCCTAGAACAATTGTCATTGAACTTGAGATGTGGAGAATGAATAGGAATTAGTGAAGCCAAAAGCAGGCAGAAATGTGATCCAGGCATTCTTTCATCTGTTCATCATGTATAATACTTTTATATTCCTGAACCAGAAAGACTAGCAGAGTAGAACAGATCTCATCACCTTCCTCATCCTATGTATTATGTATATTTTATTTTTTTTAATATATTTTTATTGATTTTGTACAGAGAGGAAGGGAGAGAGATAGAGAGTTAGAAACATCGATGAGAGAGAGTCATCGATCAGCTGCCTCTTGCACACCCCCTACTGGGGATATGCCCGCAACCAAGGTACATGCCCTTGACCGGAATCGAACCCGGGACCCTTCAGTCCCCAAGCCCGACGCTCTATCCATTGAGCCAAACCGGTCTCGGCTGTATTATGTATATTTTAATATGAGAGAGAAAGTAGCATTTCTTAGCCTATTACACTTCATTATTTGAAAGTACTATTCTAAGATAATAGTATTAAAGAATGTGGTCTAAAAAACAGAATTGGTAGGTTCAGGCCAAGGTAGAATGGATGGATTTGTCATTTTGCAAAGAATATGTAATTTCTGTTCATGGTAATTCTCTTCTTTTTGTTTTTGAGGCGAAAAATGGTTGTATGGCTGTTGGTTTTATCGGCCAAATGAAACATTCCATCTGGCTACACGAAAATTCCTAGAAAAAGAAGTTTTTAAGAGTGACTATTACAATAAAGTTCCTGTTAGTAAAATTCTAGGAAAATGTGTGGTCATGTTTGTCAAGGTAAGAAATTTATTAGTTCCAATAGTATAAATCATTCTATGGGAATAAAATTTATAAAAACACAAAATTAATACTTACAAAATTAGGAGCTTTTTTTAATCTGTTTGGGGGGGGAATTTTTTTTAAGCTGTGTCTATATGGCTGTATATAAAGATTTAGGAAGAAATTAACCTGAACATGAAGGTAAAAGACTTATTTGCCGCCTATACTATGTAGCTATATTTTAAATAATGCTTAAATTTTTTTATATTACTAAACAAATTTTTAGGATAACATTTTCTGAAAGGTCATTATAACCTGCTAGTGGGATAATAAAATGTATTTTTTGTGTATCTCTCTGTTGAAGGCACAGGAATCCTGCCCATAGCTTTAAAGGACATTACAACTATATGAAATATTAATATATTTCCCAAAGGGGCAATTGTTAGGCTAAATAAGCTACATATTATATATTTAATAAAGTAATTCTAAAGCAAGGAAATACTATTAAATCTCAATTCCTTTACCATTTGTTGTTAACTGTCAGAAAGTCTAAACAGTTTAATTTTTGTTTGTGTTTATTTTTGGTTCATTGGTTTTCAGAAAATTAATTAATTTTATTCTTATATCCTAGGAATACTTTAAATTATGCCCAGAAAACTTTCGAGATGAGGATGTTTTTGTCTGTGAATCACGGTACTCTGCCAAAACCAAATCTTTTAAGAAAATTAAATTGTGGACCATGCCCATCAGTTCTGTTAGGTTTGTCCCTCGGGATGTGCCCTTGCCTGTGGTCCGAGTGGCCTCTGTATTTGCAAATGCAGATAAAGGGGATGATGAAAAGAATGCAGACAACTCAGAAGACAGTAGAACTGAAGACAATTTTAACTTGGAAAAGGTATGTAGATAATAGCAATACACAAATAAAATTACATTTCAAAATAAATAATATAAAACCTTAATTTTTAAAAAATTATAGTTTATATATAGTATTACATTAGTTTCAAGTGTGAAACATTATGATTCAACACTTAACATGATCACCTTGATAAGTAGCATAACCTCTCACTGTACAGTTATTATAGTACTGTTGGCTGTATTTTTGTGCTGTCGGTTACATCCCCATGACTTACTTATGTTATAACTAAAAGTTTGTACCTCTTTTTTAAAATATATATATGTGTGTGTGTGTGTGTGTGTGTGTGTGTGTGTGTGTGTGTGTGTATATATATATATATATATATATATATATATATATATATTTCTTTATTGATTTCAGTGAGGAAGGGAGGAGGAGATAGAAACATCAATGATGAGAGAGAATCATTGATAAGCTGCCTCCGGCACACCACCTACTGGGGATCGAGCCCACAACCCAGGCATGTGCCCTTGGCCAGAATCGAATTTGGGACCCTTTATTCTGCAAGCTGACGCTCTATCCACTGAGCCAAGCCAACTAGAGCAGTTTGTACCTCTTACTCCCTTTCACGGTTTCTCTCATCCCCTCTGGCAACTATCAGTTTGTTTTCTGTGTCCATGTGTCTGTTTTGTTTGTTCTGTTCTTTCAGATTCCACATATAAGTGAAATCATACGGTATTTAGCTTTCTCTGACTTATTTCACTTAGCATGATATCTCCAGGTCTATTCACGTTGTTGCATAGGACAAGATTTATTTTTTATGGCTGAGCACTATTTCAATTTGTATATTTGTATGTGTGTGGATCACATCTTTATTCATCTGCCGATGGGTACCTAGGTTCCTTTCATGTCTATTTTAAATAATGCTGCAGTGAACACAGGGGTGTGTGTATCTTTCAAATTAGTGTTTTTGTTTTCTTCATATAGATACCTGGAACTGAAATTGCTATGTTGTATAGTAGTTATATTTTTAATTTTTTTATAACCCTAAATACTGTTTTCCAAATAGCTGCACCAGTTTACAATCCCATCAATAATGCACAAGGGTTTCCTTTTCTCCAAATCCTTTGCTACACTTGTTTAATAGTTGTCTTTTTTATTTGTTTGTTTTTGTATTATTAATCCTCATCCATTTTTCCATTGCTTTTTAGAGAGAGTGGAAGGGATGGGGGGAGAAAGAGAAAGAGGAAAAAAAACATGGATGTGAGAGAGGCAAATCAGTTGGTTGTCTCCCACATGTATCCCAACTTCATTGTGTCATTTAAGCTTCCTTACAATCCCATTTAATGAAGACACTAAGGCATAAGAGGTCAAGTAATTTGTTACAACAGCCAGTAGGTGACATACCCTGTAATTTATTCAAAAACAGAATATGTGTCTTTAGTTCATGGGGACTTTTCTAGCCCTTTCTATTTTGGAATAACTCAAAATGATACATTATAAAACTATTCATGGTTAATATTAAGAAGTGGCCAGCTCAGTAAATGTAGTGAAGGGGAAGCTTCTGTAGAATTTGCTTCTTATATTTTACTAGAGGTCCAGTGCACGAAATTTGTGCATGGGTAGGGTCCCTAGGTCTGGCCTGTGATCAGCCAATCAGGTTCCTAGCCTCTCTGCCCTCTCCTTTTCTCACTTCCTCAGCGCCCTGCTGGTTGTCTGCCATTATTCACGCCGCCCCTGATGGTCAGCACATGTCATAGTGAGCTATCGAAGATCCTGGTCTGCCAGTTGAACTCCTCGATCAGACAATGTGCATATTACCCTTTTATTATATAGGAAAATAATGCATTGACTAAGTCTGCTTCTGAATGCTAAGTCCTTCCTTGCCCGTGTTTTTGTTCGTTTGTTAGTTTGCTACTAAAGGCTATGGGACTAGAAGAAAGATGGAGAGGTGATAAAAGCATCCTGGAGTAACATTTTATGTCAATTAACTTGAAATTTAAAATAGATATAATATTTGATGAGACTTAGTTTGATTTCAGTGACCTAATCTTTTGGGGATTTTTCTTCAGCAAAGCTTCTATTTATTGTTATTTTTTCTTTTAGGTTAATTATGAAAGTCTGTTTTTCTTTCTTACCTTCTCTGTTTACTTCTTGATTGTCAACTGCCTATCCTCAACCAGTTTCCTTTACAACAGGAGAAAGAAGATGTCCCCGTGGAAATGTCCAATGGTGAACCAGGTTGCCACTACTTTGAGCAGCTCCGTTACAATGACATGTGGCTGAAGGTTGGGGACTGTGTCTTCATCAAGTCCCATGGCCTGGTTCGCCCTCGTGTGGGCAGGTGAGTATTATTGAAGTAGGGCGGATAAGGTTGGGTCTGAGAGATGCCGAGCCAGTAAAAAAAAAAAAATCATCACTGTTTAGGATGAAGTAAAAAGTCTCTCTCCTAGTAACTTACCCAACTTTCTCTTACATTGCACTTCCCCTGCTTTTGCCATTAGCCATACTTCCTCTTTTATATTCCTCCATAGAATCTTTTTGTTTTCCTTCTGCTACTATTTACTGAACTCTCAACCCTGAAATCTCTCTGCCCAATTCATATGGTGAACTCCTTCAGCTTACATTTGAAATGGTACTTCTTTAAGGAAACCTTCTGTCTCCTCCAGACTGTGTTAGGTGTCCTTGTTACAGCCTCTCAAAGCACCATGAATTTCCTTCTCGGAGCACATATCACATTACATTATTCTCAGGTTCTATACTGGACTGCAAATTCCTTGAGAGTCGTCATCCTCTCTTTTTGCTCTCCTTTATATTTACTATTCCAAACATAGTGCTTGAAACAAAGTAAGGGCTCAGATATTTGAATGAACAAATAAATGGATGAAATATAAATGGTTGGATGGCATAAAACAACAGTAAAGGAGTCACGAACAGAGCTGGTCGGTTGACAGTACTTAAGAACTAGTTGGTTCCAAGTGCCCATCAGTAGATGAGTGGATAAAAAAAAACAGTGGTACATTTATACCATGGAATATTATGCAGCAGTAAAAAAAAAAAAAGAAGAATTTCTTACTTTTTGGACAGCATGGAGGGACCTGGAGAGTTTCATGCTAAGTGAAATAAGTCAGTCAGAGAAAGACAAGTATCACATGATCTTCACTCATGTGGAATCTAAGTAACAAAATAAACTGATGAATAAAGTGGATCCAGAGACATGGAAGCATGGAACAGAGTGCAGAATCTCAGAGGGAAAGCTGGGTGGGTGGGAAGTAATCAACCAAGAACTTATATGCATATATGCATGTCCATAGCCACAAAGGAGAAGTGAGGGCCTGGGGCAGGGGTCGGGGGTCAGTGGGAGAAAAAGGAAGATGTATGTAATACTTTCAACAATAAAGATTTATATAAATAAATAAGAAAGAACGAACAAACGAACTAGTTGGTTCCAAGAGATCTTAGTTTCAAATGATTACCTCTCTCAGTCATTTTCCTGGTATTCATTTCATCATTCACTATTTATTACACATCTCCCATTTGCCAGGGTCTAAGGATACATTAGTGAATAAGACAAATATCCTTAGTCCCATGGATCTTTGTACTAGTGGGAAGACAAACAATAAACATTGTGAATAAGTTAAGTGTATAGTACATATCCTGTTAAAATACTTTTCCCTCCTTCCCCCCTCCCAGGTGAATACCCAAATCTTCATTTGTCTTTTTCCAAGTATCTTCTCATGTGTTTAAATGGGATTGGGCAGGGGGTGTCAAAGAAATTGTCTTATCAAAATAACCAGTGAAACTTCTCTACATACTAATTTTTGGTTAACAGAATTTTTGTTAGATTAATCCTTCAAAAATGAAACTTATTAGAATTTTATTTTAATGAAATTTATCCTTTTTTCACCACCCAAGAATTGAAAAGGTATGGGTTCGAGATGGAGCTGCATATTTTTATGGCCCCATCTTCATTCACCCAGAAGAGACGGAACATGAGCCCACAAAAATGTTCTACAAAAAAGAAGTGTTTCTGAGTAATCTGGAAGAAACCTGCCCCATGACATGTATTCTGGGTAGGTATATATGCCATTTCATTTAATCACATGCATTCCACAACAATCAATTAAATGCTTCCATTCTAGGTGCTAGGTATACAGCAAAACATGCGAAAGTCTCTGCTCTTTTAAAGACTTATGATAGGGCAGAGGTAGGGGATTCAATAAATAAAAATTAAATATATAGAACCTCAGATAGTTATCCTATCTAATAAAGAGTGAGTATCCTAATTGAACCTCACACCGTCGCAAAGATGGTGGCACCCACTGCCAATAAGGAGGGGATATGCTAATTGACTGTCATGCCCTCAAAGATGGCAACGCCCAGTCCCCTCAGCCCCGCTAGGGTGGCAGGCATGCGGGAAGCCTGGCCTTACCACGCACCTGCCTCTGGAGTCCCCCAGTCCCCTCAGCCCCCCAGCCTCCCAGGGCCAGCCCAAGGTGCAGGCAAGTCTCAGATTGAGGCTTCCCAGCCACCCAGGGCCATCCAAGGCTCAGGTAACCAGGACTGGCCAAGGCTTGTGCTGCCGGCAGTGGCAGCAGCAGATGTGTGATGGGGCATCTCCTTCCTCTCATTGCCAAGTTGCCTCCCACCTTTGAGGATTCCCAGACTGTGAGAAGGGGCAAGCCGAGCTGAGGGATCCCCCCCCTCCAGTGCATGAATTTTCATGCACCGGGCCTCTAGTTAGGGCAATAAATGAGAATAAAGCAGAGGAAGGAAGATAGAGATTCATGTTGCTTGGCAGTCCTGCTTTAGTTAATATGGTCATCCAAAGCCTCTCTGATAGGTGACATGTGAACAGAGTTCTAAAGGAAATGAGGAAGAAAACCATTTGACTATTCCAAGATTTTACTCCTTTTAGGCACAGCAAACACCAAATTCAAAGACCTTAAGGTAGAGTATCTGGGCTTGTTTGAGACTCAATAAGCAAGCTGGGTGGCTGGAGTAAGAAGGGGGTGTGGTAGGGATCAGCCCTCTGAGGTGGCTTGGCACCCAATCATGGTAGGTCTCGTAGACAGTGCAGAGATTGAGTTTGGAGCAGATAGGAAGTCCTGTGAGGGGTCTGAGCAGACAGGCAGTGTGATCCCACATATGCCTAAATGGAATCGCTTGCTTTGGATTGGAGAGTATGTTGTAAGAATAAGGTGGGAAGCTGGAAGAGCAGTTAAAAGACTTTTACAGTCTGTTGGACTTAACCCTAGTTATTATCTCCATTCCAGAAATATGAAGGACTCATAATTTGGTTTCTGTTCCATCTTCCTGAGTGTTTCCACAGTAACATTCTGCTTTTCAGATCTAGATATATATACATCACATATTGCCATCATTTCAGCTAGATTGTTTTTTGTACTGTGGGTTTTTCATTATTGGATGTGGAAGATTTCTGAATGGCCTGATAATTCAACACATTCTCTTCTTTCCACTCTGCAGAGAGGGACTCTGCAAAGGCTAGTGAAGTTGTTATATCCTTCTTGAGTTTCTTCAGCAGAGGATGTCTTCCTTGTAACTTGTGGTTCATTCTAAAGTAGTGCACTAGAGCCTTACTCCCTATTGTAAACCCAGCCTGCGGTCAAAGGAACCATAATAAAAATGAGACTAAAGTTTTCTTTAGTTAAAGCAACCTCATGACTTATTGTTGTTTTTTTTTTGTTTTGTTTGTTTTAAATATATTTTATTGATTTTTTACAGAGAGGAAGAGAGAGGGATAGAGAGTTAGAAACATCGATGAGAGAGAATCATTGACCAGCTGCCTCCTGCACACCCCCTATCGGGGATGTGCCCACAACCAAGGCCCTTGACCGGAATCGAACCTGGGACCTTTCAGTCCACAGGCTGACGCTCTATCCACTGAGCCAAACTGGTTTCGGCTGATTTATTGTTTTTTAGTGATTTTCTTAGTGGCTAATCTGGAGACTACATCTTAAATTTATGACAGTCTAGTTTGAATTAACACTAACTTAGTTTTGTATACAGACACTGTTCTCTACAGCTCCATTTCTCTCCATTTGTTGTCAAGAATAACCTTTTTATACTTTGTGTGTACTTTAACATAGATATCTTTTTTCCCCGTGGTTTTATTTATTTATTTTACATTAAAAAAAATTCAATTGCAGTTGATATACAATATTACATTAGTTTCAGGTGTACATCCCAGTAAATACATATTATATAAGTTACTAAGTGATCATTCTGATAAATCTAATATCCATCTGACACCATACATACTCTATCTCCCTGAAAATAAGACAGTGTCTTATATTAATTTTTTCTCCCAAAGTTGCGCTAGGTCTTATTTTCAGGGGATGTCTTATCTTTCCATGCGCTAGGTCTTATTTTCGGAGGATGTCTTATTTTCAGGGAAACACGGTAGTTATTACAATACTATTATATTCCCTGTACTGTACTTTATATTCGCTTGACTATCCTGTAACTACCAATTTATACTTTTTAATACCTTCACTTATTTCACCTGTCCCCAAAAATTCCCTCTCCCATCTGGCAAATGTCAAAATGTTCTCTGTATCTATGACTCTGTTTTTGTTCGTCTTATTTATTTATTTTGAATTTTTAAATTCAATTGTTGATAGACATGATTTATTGGCATATTATTATTAATATTTTTTTTTATCTTTTCATGTAATACTGGTTTGGTGGTGATGAACTTCTTTAGCTTTTTCTTGTCTGGGAAGCTGTTTTATATGTCCTTCAATTCTAAATTATAGAGTAATCTTGGTTGTAGGTTCTTGCTTTTCATCCCTTTGAATATCTCCTGCCACTCCCTCTGGCCTGCAAAGCTGCTTTTGGGAAACAGCAGCTTTGCAGGCCAGAGGGAGCTAACAGGCTACGGGGGCTCCCTTGTAGGTAACTAACTACTTTTCTCTTGCTACTTTTAAGAATCTCTCTTTGTCTTTAAACTTTTGCATTTTAATTATGATGTCTTGGTATGGGCCTCTTTGTGTTCATCTTGTTTGGGACCACACTTCCTGAACTTGTGTGAACATTTCCTTCACCAGGTTAGGGAAATTTTCCATCATTGTTTTTTCAACTAGGTCTCAGTTTTTTGTTCTCTCTCTTCTTCAAGCACCCCCATGATGTGAAGTTGGTATACTTGAAGTTGTCTTAGAGGCTTCTTACACTATTCTCATTTTTTAAAAATTCTTTTTCTTTTTTTTATGTTCTGATTGGGTGTTTTTCTTCCTTATATTCCAAATTGCTGTTTTGAGTCTTGGCTTCATCTCCTCTACCTGTTGATTCCCTTTAAATTATTCTTTATTTTAATTAATGTATTCTTCATTTCTGACTTTTTTTTTTCTTTAATATATTTTTATTGATATCAAAGAGGAAGGGAGAGGGAGAGAGAGAGAGAAACATCAATGATGAGAGAGAATCACCGATAGGCCGCCTTCTGCATCAGCGCCACCCCTCCTCCCCCAGTGGGAGAATTGTGCCCTCAACCCAGGCATGTGCCCCCGACCAGAATCAAACTTGGTCCCTTTAATCCTCGGGCCAACACTATCCACTGAGCCAAACAGGCTAGGGCTCTGACTGGTTCTTTTTTATGGTTTCCATGTCCTTTTTTAGGCTGTTAGAGTTCATCTCCTGTTCCCCTAAATTCATTGAGCATTCTTATAACCTGAGTTTTAAACTCTGCATCTAATAAATTTACTTGTCTCCATTTTTGTTTAGTACTTTTTTTGGAGTTTTTGTTCTGTTCTTTCATTTGGGACAGTTTCTTTGCTCATTTTGGCAGCCTCCTATTATTGTTTCTATGTATTAGGTAGAGCTGCTGCGTATTCCAAGCTTGGTAGAGAGGCCTAATATAGTAAGGTCCAGTGGCACAGCTTCCCCGTTCAACTGAGCTGGGTACTTCAAGTGGACCTCTAGCCCTGTGTGGGCTGCGTACACTCTTTTATTATAGTTGTGCCTTAATTGCTGTTGACATGTCAATTGGGAGGGATTTGCCCCCAGGTCAATCAGCTATAAGGACTAGTTGTGACCACTGTGGAGTAGCAATTGTGTGGGGCCCACCCCGTGGAACAGAACTTACTTCTGCAGTGCTATGGTGTCTCCTGAATCCACCCTTGACTGTCCCTTGTAGAGGTGGTTGGGTGATACTTCGACATGGTCAGTAGCTATCCACGTGGTGCACTGGCTCTGGAGCTTCCCTGGAAGGTGCAGGCCAAAGTCAGATGCTACTTGTGTTCTGCCCAGGGCTACCCAGCACAAGCTATAAAACAGTCTTCAGATGGCTGCTACTTGTGCTGGTGTTGGAGTTATCCTAGAGAGGCCAACCTGCAAACCAAGGCTGCTAGTGCATGGCTTGGAGCCACTTAGCAAGAGGTATGGAGCATTCCCTTACCAGCAACTGCTTGTTTGAGAGATTTATGAAATTCTGAAGCATGAACCAAGACAGGCCATTATGTGGAAAAGCCACTGGAAACCCCTTGGATGGGCCGCAAAGGTGGACGTGGCAGGGTGGAGTCTCAGGGAACCCCCAGGACGAGGCGAACAGTGATAGCCAGGTTGATGGAGATTCAGCTGTGGTGCCCACCTTGTGGCTTTGTGTTGGGAGGGCTCAGAAAAGGAACAGTGGCATCTGCCAGCACTTCTGTCTGGGAGAAAATGCCCCTCTCGCCCCAACCTCAGCTCTTACCCTGATGTTGGACCCATTCAGTTCCTCCCTGTATGTCACTGGTGAACTTCATGCTGTTGTCCTAGTGCTAGAGCTCAAAGGGAGTGAGTCCAGGCACGGACCTTTTGAGAGGAACTATCTGCGACTCCAACAGCCCTTTGTCTCACTGAGCCACAGTCCCCACGAGTTTTCATAGCCAGAAGTTATGGGGACTTCTCTTCCTGACACCGGAACCATGGGCTAGGAGTCCTGGTGTTGGGCTGGGACTTGTCGATTCTTAGGGACACGACCTATCTACAGCTCAGATATCCTTACAAATTTTTATCTTCCACATGTGAGTGTAGGAACTTCCCCTCCTACCAATCTTAATGTGGCTTCTCATTT